AGCCCAACATTGTATCTGGATCCCTGCAGTTTTTGTAAAAAGCACAGTTAAGGATCAGTCATTCGCACAAATTGAATAGCAGTGACATCTAGCAGTCTATAAACATTGACTATATAGAAAAAAATTGCTGACTCCTGATCTTACAAAAGTAAAATAAAAGTAAGAAAGACATTTAGTAAAAATCTAGCAGCTATACTTAATTTTAAAAGAAAAACAAAGCCGGCGTGGTGGCACACGCCTTTAAGGCTGGGAGCACTTGGGAGGCAGAGGCAGGTGGATCTCTGTGAGTTCAAGGCCAGCTTGGTCTACATAGCGAGTTCCAAGACAGCTGGGGCTACAGGGAGACCCTGTCTCAAAAAGACAGAAAAAAAAAAAAAAAAAGAAAAACAAAACTGAGTAGGAATAAATGGACATTAACTGATAAAGGAGCTGATACTAGATTTTTTTTTTCATGTGCACCGAGAATAAATGACCATAAATTTAACAACTTTTAAAAGCACACATATGTCACAGTTTCCATTGACCAGGAGTTTGGGGACAGCTTAACGGGTCTTTCTGCTCCAAGTCTTCTAAACTGCAGTCAGCTGTAGGCTAGACTGCTTTCTCATTTGGAGGCCCCACTACCCTTGGGAAGAATGCTTCTACATTTTACAGGTTGTTAACAGGATTGTGCCATTGCTGTTTCAGAATTGAGGACCTTTTGCATTTGGGGTGGTGGTGCATAGTGAACTTCAGAGCCTTATTCTTCAACAGAGGGTCACACCCTTACCTAGCCACACCCAAACTTTTAAATTGGTATTACTCTGAGATCCTAGCAACTCCCAGAATATAATTTAACATACCACTTCACACCAAAACAATTCAGATGTGTCCAACTTTTTTTTGACATAATAAAATGTTGTCATCACCTATAAAGTTTACCACACATGGGAGTTACAAAAAATGGTGAATAAAAAGTTTCATGATTTAAGTACGTTTATAGTTTTGCATTGAGCTGCATTCATAGTTATCCTTAGCTGCATATAGCCACAAACAGAGGTTGGATATGCCTAATATAGATGAAAAATGTATAATCTATGAGAAAATAGAAATAAAAAGGAATACAAATCACCATAAGCTTCCCCCTCTGCTGCCCTCCCCTTTCCTCCTCTTTCTCCCCCCTTCCCCTCTCCAATTCTCCCTTTCCCTCCCTTTCTTGAGCCTATTGCTGTCCTGGGACTAATGTACCAGAGGCTGCACTATAGACATTTTAGTTCTGTATCCGTGGCCAAGGTTCCAAGATGTCTTAGAATTCGAGGTGTAGGGTTTTTTTTTTTGTTGTTGTTGTTGGTTTTTTTTGGTTTTGGTAGAGATTTTCAGCTTGGTTCACTGAATTTTGAAGAGATGACCTATCTTTTCGGAATCTATTATGAATTATTGTTCATGCTGTTAAAATTGGAGTGAATTGTGCTCAGGATACAACTTCAAAGTACCTGCTAGATGTTACTGTGGACAGGAGACCGGGCACATTGAGCATGGCTGGGCTGATGTGTATCTATGCCCTCTGCTCCAATGACTCAGAAACAACCAGACACCTGTGTCAAGACATTCAGAATATGAATGGGAAGCACTGGACTCATCCTTGGGGAGTATGTAATACAACTCCATAAAAACTCCGATAGGAAAGACCATTCCCCTGGAACTTGAAGCCTTTGATACTCCAGATCTTCATGAACTGGAGCTGCTCTCTGCAATGTGTGCCTGTCCAACTTTGGAAGTGCGACTTGAGTTGAGATATGCTGGAAGTATAGAATACCCATCAGATGTCTAAAGTACTGTATGGCAAACACAAAGCATTGCACAGTGACCTTTTATATTGATTACATGTTAAAATAATATTTTCTGGGTTGGAGAGATGGTTCAGTGGTTAAGAGCACAGTCTTGCAGAGGACCTGGATTTGATTCTCAGCATCCATTGCCAACTAACAACCATCCATACTCCAGTTTCAGGAGACTCCAACACCCTCTACTGACCTCTGTAGGCATTGCATGACACAGGTGTACTTACATACATGCAGGCAATACACTCATACACAAAAAATTAAAAATGATAAAATATTTTAAAATATAAAACAAAACTCAGAGACATAAAATTTCACCTGCACACATGACACTGCAAGTTCCTTCTCTGATCACTCAGATAATAGAGGGACCTTATTAAGCAAAACCTACCCCTATCACCTTACCAACTCCCACAAAACATTTACCTGGTCTCTGGGTGTGAGGCCACACACTGCAGTAATGCCAGAGCATTGCAAACTCTATTGGACTGGTGTGCTGTCAAGGTGGGAGGGTTGATAGATGGATAAATATTCACAATTTCCTGAGGAAAAAAAAACAAAACAAAATGAATCCCAGATGAGTAATAATTACAAAACTAAATTGTCATGGTACTAAAAAATAACAATCTTGCCAGGTGTGGTGGCGCACACCTTTTTGTTTTTGCTACTAACACTGAGATGTTGGTGCATGCGTCTCTAATCTGTAGGTCTGGTTATTACTAGTCATAATCGGTTGCACTCAGATCTTTGGCACCTGTGTATGTCTGTAAAGTCATCGGGTATATTTCAGTGGTAATGTTTATCACCTCTACTGATTAACATGATATAATTTTTTATGCTTCCTCCTCAAATATAATTCGTTTTTTTTTTAATTTGATTTGTGTGTGTGTGTGTATCACACAGACCATCCCAAACCATCTTATTCAACTATATACCCACTTCCCAGATGGCACCCTTCCATAACTTCCCTCCTTCCACTAGAGCCCTTATACTCTGTTATCCCTGCTACTATCCTCTGTGTTGTTGGCACCCCTAGCCATTCCCCACTCTTGTCCATCTGGCAGATCTAGTCAGCCTATCTAGAGGTCCTTGTTTCAGGAAGGTCAGCTATTCCTCTTCTAGCAGCAATCAGTTGTCAATATTCCTTTAGATAAGATTGGGG